GTCGCTTGTCCTCGGTGTAGTACTCCACATATGCTCCTCGCCTCAGCTCACCACCCTTGTTGTAATGAAACAGTACAAGGCAATGGCCATACCACGGGGATCCCTTCCCTGCAGGGTTGATCGCGATCGACGAGAAGTTTTTCTGGGCTGGGCTAGCCTTGACGAACTGCCCCCTCGACGTCCATTCCATCTTGTCGTGTGGCGGAATCGCAAGTGCCTGTGCACCTGACACCACGAGCATTGAACAAAGAAAATGGGAAAGCAGCGAAAGAGGGGGTGGAGAGCATAAGGAAAAGGGGGTATTGTCCAGGGTTTGCATGGAAAGCTGTCCGGAGAGGGGGAACCAGGGCTGGATGGGGTGGAAGGCAAGCAGGAGAGGGGAAACCAGGGCTGGATGGGGTGGAAAGCAAGCATGAGAGGTGGAACCAAGGCTGGATGGGGTGGAAAGCAAGCAGGAGAGGGGGATCCAGGGCTGGATGGGGTGGAAAGCAAGCAGGAGAGGGGGAACTAGGGCTGGATGGGGTGGAAAGCAGGAAAGGAGGGGAGGAACAGTTCAGCAGGGCGCGGAAAGCAGGGAAAGAGGGGCCTGGGTTTAGGGTACACGCGTTTTTTACAGAACTCGCATGCCTGGGCATCCATTGGCCAGATCAAGTTTACCTAGGAGTGAATGGTGTTCAGCAACACCAGTTTGAGCTGTTTAGCAAGTCACACAAGGGTAGCGTTGATCGTAATGGCGATACAGTATATTAGGTTTGGTCGAGGAACAAATTTGGTGCCAAGAGGGATGGGTGATCGGAGTTGCTTGATCCATGATTAAAAGTTGTAACTGCGGATGCATGAAATTAAGGGCCGACAAGGCTGCACACAGACCACACTGTATGAGGACAATTGCTGCTGAGAATCACCTCAATGTGTAAGGATAACAGTATAACAGTATTACATTCTAAACTATTCTATCAGCACACCCGTGAGTGCACATCTAAACGGATTGATGCGTCAAAATGAGCTGGTTAACACAACCAAAAGAGATTCTCGAACCGCGATGGCTTTTACAGATCACGGTTCCCGACCTGCAATGTCGGTTGCAAACGCGGTTTGGGGTTTTTTTTTTTTTTTTTTTTTTCCTTCTCTGCCTGTTTTTAAGTTGTTCGTTAAAAGCCTGCTTGTGTTCGCACCCAATACATAGAGGTGCTGCCCTCATATCGTCTGAGCATATCGTCCTTACTTGATGCGTGTTATAGGTACCCTCGGTGCCAAGAAAAAGAAAAAAGGAAAGTAAGACGCGGCTGGGGCAACATGACATATAGAAGACGTAGACGACGAGGAGCAACTGCCAGTGAAAGGGCATAAGCGTGAGGATGAGCGTGGGGGAGAGCGTGAGGGCAGGCGTGAGGGCAGGCGTGAGGGCAGGCGTGAGGGCAAGCGTGAGGGGAGGCGTGAGGGAGAGCGTGAGGAAGAGCGTGAGGAAGAGCGTGAGGAAGAGCGTAAGGAAGAGTGTGAGGGAGAGCGTGAGGAAGAGCATGAAGGAGAGCGTGAGGAAGAGCGTGAGGGAGAGCGTGAGGGAGAGCGTGATGTGAAGCGTGATGCATCTTCTCCCTCTACTCCAGCAGGTGCTCGACCGGATGGTGCAGAGGATGTTCGTGGGCATGGGGGGAGTGGGATGGAGAGCCGTGGCGGGGAGATGGAGGATCAGAGGGGGGTGTCAGGGAGAGTGAAGTCACGGCACCGCAAGGCTGGAAAGAAAGCCCCTGTCAAGGAGGAATCTTCCGAACGCGAGGACAGCTCGGATGAGGAATTGGGGAGCTCCTCCGGGAGTGAGGAGAGGTACGACGAGGATGAAGGAAGTGAGGACGATGAATCGGTGTCCGAGAGTGATGACGAAGATATGAGAGGGCGGAGGGCACGGGCAGGTAGAGGCCGCTCGGGCGGAAAGCGTGGGCATGCGCACGGGAATAAAGCGAGCAAGGGGCGTAAGAGGCAGAAACATCGCTCGCGTGCTCAAGGGAAGCACACTACTCATGGGGTGCCTACGCGGGTGGGTAAGGAGCGTCCTCCCGTAGGAAGGAACCTCGGATTCTACCATGAGATGCGGACCTTGGGGAGCTCAGAAGATGCAGGTCAGGAGAACCGTAGGGAGAACATTCGTAGGGGGAAATTGGCAGCATCGAACGATCCATATACTGCCCTCGCCTCTGGGTCTGGACTGGGAAGGAGTGCATCACGGTTTCCTGATCGTAGCGTGGAAGCGGAGGTTGATCTTCAGCACACCATTACTCGGAATCCAAGTGGTGGTGATGATCCGGCAAGTGCAGGGGGGCAGTGGGTGAAAGATCGTGATGCTGGCGGGTTTGGTGCTTGGGGGATGGACGAAGAGAAGGCTGGAACTTCAGACCCTGCGACTGCAGGCCCGTCAGATCCGGCAAGATACAATTCTAAGGCCGACAGCGCGACCGGTGTGCCCCTGAGTCCCTTAGACAATTCAGCTGATGCTTCCATGCAACAACTTTTTAAAGCTTTGCAGGATGCCAATCGGCAGATTGCAGAGCTAAAGGCGGGTCGCGGTCTTTCAGGGAACGGGGGCGGCAACGGCGCGTAAATACCTCCTCTTACCTCGATCTCCAGTGAGCTGCCATCGCAGCCTGATGCGCCTCCCGTTGTGGCGGAGAGCGCTGTACAAGACGTTCCCATTGCACGGCGGCACGGCATGCCGAATGCCACCAATCTGAGGGTTAGTTACTAGTTTCCCTTGACTGCATGCCGTGCAACGTCTCTGGTTTCCCGTCACTGCATCCCTCCCTTGCACCGCACAAATTCTCTGGTTTCCCGTCACTGCATCCTTGCAACCCATACATTCTCAGGATTCCCGTCACTGCATCCTTCCACCGCATACATTCTCTGGTTTCCCATCACTGCATCCTTGCACCGCATACATTCTGTGGATTCCCATCACTGCATCCCTCCCTTGCACCGCACATATTTTCTGGTTTCCCGTCACTGCATCCCTCCCTTGCACCGCACATTTTCTGGTTTCCCGTCACTGCATCCCTTGCACCGCATACATTCCCTGGTTTCCCGTCACTGCATCCTTGCACCGCATACAATCTCTGGATTCCCATCACTGCATCCCTCCCTTGCACCGCACACATTTTCTGGTTTCCCGTCACTGCATCCCTCCCTTGCACCGCACACATTTTCTGGTTTCCCGTCACTGCATCCCTTGCGCCGTATGTACATTCCCTGGTTTCCCGTCACTGCATCCTTGCACCGCATACATTCTGTGGATTCCCATCACTGCATCCCTCCCTTGCACCACACACATTTTCTGGTTTCTCGTCACTGCATCCCTCCCTTGCACCGCACACATTTTCTGGTTTCCCGTCACTGCATCCCTTGCACCGCATACATTCCCTGGTTTCCCGTCACTGCATCCCTTGCACCGCATACATTCCCTGGTTTCCCGTCACTGCATCCTTGCACCGCATACATTCTCAAGTTTCCCATCACTGCACGGCTTTGCACCGCTTCTCTGGTTTCCATTGACTGCATGCCTTTCACCCAATTTTCTGGTATCCCATCACTGCAAGGATTTTCCCCGCTCACATTCTCTGGTTTCCCTTGACTGCATGCCTTGCACCCAATTCTCTGGTTTCCCATCACTGCAAGGCTTTGCACCGCTCACATTCTCTAATTTCCCTTTACTGCATGCCTTGCACCCAATTATCTGGTTTCCCATCACTGCAAGGCTTTGCACCGCTCACATACTCTGGTTTCCCTTGACTGCATGCCTTGCACCCAATTCTCTGGTTTCCCATCACTGCAAGGATTTTCACCGCTCACATTCTCTGGTTTCCATTGACTGCATGCCTTGCACCAAATTCTCTGGTTTCCCATCACTGAAGGCTTTTCACCGCTCACATTCTCTGGTTTCCCTTGACTGCATGCCTTGCACCCAATTCTCTGGTTTCCCATCACTCTTGACCAGTTCTACATGGAAGATTCCCGGAACCGGATGTGCATGGAAGCTGAAGATAGTGTAATTACATTCTACCCATCCTTTGAGAAGCGTATGCGGGTTCTGCACGAGATCATCTCCGAAAATTACATCGTGTCCTTCATTTTGCTGAAAGAGGCCATGGGGGATAAACCACGGCGTGATTTGTTCAAGCGCGTATGGACCCAATGGAAGAATGAGCGCGGTTTTTACATAAAAAGAACCGTACTTGAGGGCTTAGGGGTTGCTATGGGCGGGCTGCGCGCGGCGGAAATTCACGTCGATGTGAAAGTGAAGGAGGATCTCTGGAAAACTCTATTGCCCGAGTGAGTGAACCGCAATCCTTCCCCCCCCCTCCCCCCCTCTCCTCCACAATCACCCCATCCCATCTTTCACCACCCCATCTCACTCTCTTCTCAACTTGGCGTTGTCCAACATAGCCCATCTTAATACTCGAGTTCCACCCGTCCAACCACTCTTTTTACCATCCTTGTTCGAGCTTGTCGCAGGCATGGACGACCCCCTGAGCACCTGGGGTAATGCTGAGGATGGTGGCCTCCCGTTTGGCAATGAAATCTTCTTCAACGCAGCTATGGATGCTTTCGGAGAATTCAGCGTGGGAGACGACTTGTGCTTGAAGGCGTATCACATCGCCTGGACTATCATGGTGGTGAGTGGTTTGTTATTGTGACCCCCTGTTTTCCCCTTCCCTCAATGAGCTGCGCCCACTCCCATGTTTTCCCCTTCCCTCAATGAGCTGCGCCCACTCCCTTGTTTTCCCCTTCCCTCAATGAGCTGCGCCCACTCCCCTGTTTTCCCCTTCCCTCAATGAGCTGCGCCCACTCCCCTGTTTTCCCCTTCCCTCAATGAGCTGCGCCCACTCCCCTGTTTTCCCCTTCCCTCAATGAGCTGCGCCCACTCCCCTGTTTTCCCTTTCCCTCAATGAGCTGCGCCCACTCCCCTGTGATATTCTGTTAATTCTCTGCGCCATGGTTCCTAATCCCAACAGTGCAGATTGACTACGGCCTGTCGAAGATTAAGAAGTCAACGATGAACCTCACCAACTCGCACCCAAAGAACACGAAGTGGGTGACAAGCATCCGCGACGTGGTTCGACGGGTGGTGAGGGATCATTTTAGCCAGGTCAATCCTGTCTACAACGCACGGATGAAGGGGTTCAGGTGGGGAACTTTCAGCTTGTTCGTCCATGAGTCAGGGTTCGAGGAGTATAGGCCCAGAACACAGCCCTGCAATCCGGCAGGGAGGGTGGCGGCAGGACCGATCTAGAGGAGAGAAAAGGGGGAGGAGCAGCAGGGAGGTAGCAGCAGGGAGGAGGCAGCAGGGAGGGAGCAGCAGGGAGGAAGCTGCAGGGAGGGAGCAGCAGGGAGGAAGCAGCAGGGAGGAAGCATCAGGGAGGTAGCAGCAGGGAGGGAGCAGCAGGGAGGAAGCAGCAGGGAGGAAGCAGCAGGGAGGAAGCAGCAGGGAGGAAGCAGCAGGGAGGGAGCAGCAGGGAGGAAGCAGCAGGGAGGAAGCTTCAGGGAGGAAGCAGCAGGGAGGAAGCAGCAGGGAGGGAGCAGCAGGGAGGGAGCAGCAGGGAGGAAGCATCAGGGAGGGAGCAACAGGGAGGGAGCAACAGGGAGGGAGCATCAGGGAGGTAGCAGCAGGGAGGAAGCAGCAGGGAGGAAGCAGCAGGGAGGAAGCAGCAGGGAGGAAGCAGCAGGGAGGAAGCAGCAGGGAGGGAGCAGCAGGGAGGTAGCAGCAGGGAGGGAGCAGCAGGGAGGAAGCAGCAGGGAGGAAGCATCAGGGAGGGAGCAGCAGGGAGGGAGCAACAGGGAGGGAGCAGCAGGGAGGTAGCAGCAGGGAGGAAGCAGCAGGGAGGGAGAAGCAGGGAGGAAGCAGCAGGGAGGAAGCATCAGGGAGGTAGCAGCAGGGAGGGAGCAGCAGGGAGGGAGCAGCAGGGAGGGAGCAGCAGGGAGGAAGCAGCAGGGAGGGAGCAGCAGGGAGGAAGCTGCAGGGAGGAAGCAACAGGGAGGAAGCAGCAGGGAGGGAGCAGCAGGGAGGGAGCAACAGGGAGGGAGCAGCAGGGAGGTAGCAGCAGGGAGGAAGCAGCAGGGAGGGAGCAGCAGGGAGGAAGCAGCAGGGAGGAAGCATCAGGGAGGTAGCAGCAGGGAGGAAGCAGCAGGGAGGAAGCAGCAGGGAGGGAGCAGCAGGGAGGAAGCAGCAGGGAGGAAGCTGCAGGGAGGAAGCAGCAGGGAGGGAGCAGCAGGGAGGGAGCAGCAGGGAGGTAGCAGCAGGGAGGAAGCAGCAGGGAGGGAGCAGCAGGGAGGAAGATGCAGGGAGGAAGCAACAGGGAGGAAGCAGCAGGGAGGGAGCAGCAGGGATGGAGCAACAGGGAGGGAGCAGCAGGGAGGTAGCAGCAGGGAGGAAGCATCAGGGAGGTAGCAGCAGGGAGGGAGCAGCAGGGAGGAAGCAGCAGGGAGGAAGCATCAGGGAGGAAGCAGCAGGGAGGAAGCATCAGGGAGGGAGCAGCAGGGAGGGAGCAACAGGGAGGGAGCAGCAGGGAGGTAGCAGCAGGGAGGAAGCAGCAGGGAGGGAGCAGCACGGAGGAAGCAGCAGGGAGGAAGCATCAGGGAGGTAGCAGCAGGCAGGGAGCAGCAGGGAGGGAGCAGCAGGGAGGAAGCAGCAGGGAGGGAGCAGCAGGAAGGAAGCAACAGGGAGGAAGCATCAGGGAGGTAGCAGCAGGGAGGGAGAAGCAGGTAGGCAGCAGCAGGGAGGAAGCTGCTGGGAGGAAGCAGCAGGGAGGGAGCCGCAGGGAGGGAGCAGCAGGGAGGAAGCAGCAGGGAGGGAGCAGCAGGGAGGAAGAAACAGGGAGGAAGCAGCAGGGAGGGAGCAGCAGGGAGGGAGCAACAGGGAGGGAGCAGCAGGGAGGTAGCATCAGGGAGGAAGCAGCAGGGAGGGAGCAGCTGGGAGGAAGCAGCAGGGAGGAAGCATCAGGGAGGAAGCAGCAGGGAGGAAGCAGCAGGGAGGAAGCAGCAGGGAGGGAGCAGCAGGGATGAAGCAGCAGGGAGGAAGCTGCAGGGAGCAAGCAGCAGGGAGGGAGCAGCAGGGAGGGAGCAGCAGGGAGGTAGCAGCAGGGAGGAAGCAGCAGGGAGGGAGCAGCAGGGAGGAAGATGCAGGGAGGAAGCAACAGGGAGGAAGCAGCAGGGAGGGAGCAGCAGCGAGGGAGCAACAGGGAGGGAGCAGCAGGGAGGTAGCAGCAGGGAGGAAGCAGCAGGGAGGGAGCAGCAGGGAGGAAGCAGCAGGGAGGAAGAATCAGGGAGGTAGCAGCAGGGAGGGAGCAGCAGGGAGGCAGCAGCAGGGAGGAAGCTGCTGGGAGGAATCAGCAGGGAGGGAGCCGCAGGGAGGGAGCAGCAGGGAGGTAGCAGCAGGGAGGAAGCTGCAGGGAGGAAGCAGCAGGGAGGAAGCAGCAGGGAGGGAGCAGCAGGGAGGGAGCAGCAGGGAGGAAGCATCAGGGAGGGAGCAGCAGGGAGGGAGCAACAGGGAGGGAGCAGCAGGGCGGTAGCAGCAGGGAGGAAGCAGCAGGGAGGAAGCAGCAGGGAGGAAGCAGCAGGGAGGAAGCAGCAGGGAGGAAGCAGCAGGGAGGGAGCAGCAGGGAGGTAGCAGGAGGGAGGGAGCAGCAGGGAGGAAGCAGCAGGGAGGAAGCATCAGGGAGGGAGCAGCAGGGAGGGAGCAACAGGGAGGGAGCAGCAGGGAGGTAGCAGCAGGGAGGAAGCAGCAGGGAGGGAGCAGCAGGGAGGAAGCAGCAGGGAGGAAGCATCAGGGAGGTAGCAGCAGGGAGGGAGCAGCAGGGAGGGAGCAGCAGGGAGGAAGCAGCAGGGAGGGAGCAGCAGGGAGGAAGCTGCAGGGAGGATGCAACAGGGAGGAAGCAGCAGGGACGGAGCAGCAGGGAGGGAGCAACAGGGAGGGAGCAGCAGGGAGGTAGCAGCAGGGAGGAAGCAGCAGGGAGGGAGCAGCAGGGAGGAAGCAGCAGGGAGGAAGCATCAGGGAGGTAGCAGCAGGGAGGAAGCAGCAGGGAGGAAGCAGCAGGGAGGGAGCCGCAGGGAGGGAGCAGCAGGGAGGAAGCAGCAGGGAGGGAGCAGCAGGGAGGGAGCAACAGGGAGGGAGCAGCAGGGAGGAAGCTGCAGGGAGGAAGCAGCAGGGAGGGAGCAGCAGGGAGGGAGCAGCAGGGAGGAAGCAGCAGGGAGGGAGCAGCAGGGAGGAAGCAGCAGGGAGGGAGCAGCAGGGAGGAAGCAGCAGGGAGGAAGCATCAGGGAGGTAGCAGCAGGGAGGGAGCAGCAGGGAGGGAGCAGCAGGGAGGAAGCAGCAGGGAGGGAGCAGCGGGGAGGGAGCAGCAGTGAGGGAGCGACAGGGAGGGAGCAGCAGGGAGGATGCAGCAGGGAGGAATCAGCAGGGAGGCAGAGGATTAACAGCAAATGAGAGAGCAGGTGAGGAGCTGCAACTGCATGGAGGACAATTGGAGTAACAGCCGTTCAAGGGAGGAAAGCAGTAACAACATGGGGGAGTAGCAGAGGAGTGACACCAAGGGGGCGGGGCAGAAAAGTAATAGCACAGCAGGGAGGGAGCAGAGGAGTAACAGCAAGGGAGGGGGGGGTCCTGACCCTAAACAACAAGGAACAGGGAGTAGCACAGCAGGGAGGGAGCAGAGTAGTAACAGCAAGGGAGGGGGGGGGGGTCCTGAGGAGTAACAACAAGGAACAGGGAGTAGCACAGCTGGGAGGGAGCAGCAGGGAGTAGCACAGCAGGGAGGAAACAAAGAAACACGGAGCAACATTGAGGGGAGCAGAGTGAGAGCAGCATTAGAGGTAGCAATGGCAGTGGGGGGAGCAGCAGATGAGCAGAAAGGGGTTGCCATTTGAGTAGCAGCAGGGGGGTTGAGTCATTAAGGAGTGGCTGGGTGGGAAGGAGCAGAGGAGAAGCTGTATGGGGCCGAGCGGTGCGGATATGCTGGGTGGAGTTGGGACCTAGGGTTGATAGCGGGTAGTAGTAGCACAGGTGTGATTAACCAGGGAAGGACTACTAGTAGAGTAGGTAGTAACCAGAAGATTTAGTAGGTAACAAATGTCTTAGTACCCTTTTTTGAAGTAATGTTATGATTTGCACGTACGCGCCTGCCATCTAATGGGGAATTTATGGAAAGTGCTGTGCAGCCTCCAATGAACTACTATGAAATGTTATTCAAACCCCAAGTGTGTTTTCTGAGATCATGCATAACCATTTTCCGAGTTTATGCTTGACACATAAAAGTGTTTCAAAAAACCTTAATCCTTGTCCACAAAAGAATCACATAAAGCTACAGAATGTGCTCGAAACGAGTTTTCCAAAACTCAAGGAGAACTTTTGCCGAAGCATTTCGAAACTGTTTTAAAACATTGCTATCATCTACAAAGCATCTGACACAACATCTGGAAAAAGTTCAATACTTTCTTTGAAAAAAGTACCGACCCCTACATCTTCAAAGCACCTGCAAAAACACATCAAATACACATCATGAGAGGTTTTCAGCTACTTCATTTTTGTGATGGGGTTGGGATGGGTCGGGTCGGGTCGAGGGCAGTTGGCTCGGGCTTGATCGGGTGTGGTCAGGTCAGGTCTGGTGAGGTCGGATTGGGCCGGGGGTTAGGTGGTTTGGCTCGGGTCAGGTCAGGTACGGACGGGTAGGGTCCGGTGGGTCGGGGCAAGTCGAGAGGGCCGGGTCGGGTCGTGTTAAGTTGCATTGGGTCGGGTCGGATTGCTTCGGCACGCGGTTCTTGATGGGATGGGATTTGGCTCATTTCTCTTCAGCAGCTGGAGGGGGTCGCTGCATCCATGCTGAAGTTCGCCAGACATTGTGCGGTTCGGTGTGGTGCTGTGCTGTGATATGCTTCCTCCATTGACTCGGTAAGATTTCGACATTCCATCAAGGGTCATGGATGAATCTGCAAGCAAGCTGCTGATATTACAAACCATCGTGCTGCTGCTGGGTGTAAGAGGGCAACAGGAGTGGGGAGAGGATGAGTAGCTTGAAAGCGCACTTTGCCCACAGCCTACTGCATGGGCACGAGTCGAGTCGAGTCAAGTCATCTTAAGTCGTCATAGAGTTGGGGAGAAGGGGAGTTGTGTGACGCTGTGTTGGGGCAGGTACTGGTCAGGTGATTGCATTTTGGTTCAGGTGAATTAATTGCGGTTCAGGTGATTGCAGTGTTGGTTCCACTTTCGCCAGTCTGTTAACTTCCCTCCATCCACACAGATACTCCTAGATATTCTCACCCCCACCTTGTCTTCTGATCTACACCCTCCCTCCCTACGGCCACATTTTTCTTTCCTTGTCGTCGCCCTCCCTACTCTTCTTTCAAATGGGCGAACTCCCTGTCGTTGTGTCCCCTCCCCACTGCCAGACCTCCATCTGCCTCTTCCGGTCCCCAACTCTCCTGTGACCACTCCCTCTCTCTGCTGCCTTCTCTTTCTTCCCTCTGCTAGTCCTCGCTCTCTCCCCTGCTCCTGCCCCCTCGCTCTCCCGCAGTGCCGCCGCTGCCGCACCCCCTTCTAGCCGCCACTTCTATGATCATCCCTTGTCCATCTGCCAGTGTCTTTCCTTCTTTGTCCTTGCCCTCCCTCCCACCCGCTCCTGCCCTCCCACTCTCCCCACACACACGAGTGCCGCTACTGCCGGAACCTCCTCCTGTGCCTCTTCCACAGCAACGTCTCGCCTTCCTCTGATGATGTACTGCAGCTGGTGGAGGTGATGGCGTTGGTGTAGTGTGTCAAGCTGCAGGGTTGAGCGACGGGGGCGGCAGGGGAGAGGGAGTACTTGTGTCAGGCATGGTTTTGAGTGAGAGGAGTGCTTATGCTGCCACTCACCCACTCTCGCATGTGCCTTCCACGACAACGGCTCGCATTCCACTAAAGACCAACTGCTGGCGGGCAGCGCGTGGAGGAGTTGCACAGCTGAGGGGCGAAGGGCCGGGGAGTAGAAAGTAGGGTTGTGAGGCATAGGTTTGAGTGCTAGGAGTGTCTACGCTGCCGCACCTCCTCCTGTGCCTTCCACAACCGCGGCTCGCGTCAATCTGACAACATGATGTGCGTGCGTGGAGCTGCACAGGTGAGGGGAGAAATGCTATTCTTATCCGATCCCCTCTCATCCGGTCCTCCTCCCTCTGCCTTCCCGCCACACTGAGCTTCAGCTGCTGACATTGCAGCTCCTGGCCCCGTCACGTGGCTACGACAGTGAAGTCGCTGGTGGGAAGACTGATTGCAGAACGAGCTTTTCAATGGATGACGTGGCAGATGACAGCGCTGCTAAATAGGCAGCGAGGCAAAGCGCTCCTATTCTTCTGGGCAGGAGAAGCAGGTGAGAGCAGCTGGTGAGTGCAGCAGGTAAGAGCAGAGCAGGAAGGGCAGGAAGAGAAGGTGAGCAAGCAAGTTCAGGCTTTCGTGAGCAGGAGATTCGAATGGGGCAGCAAATGCTGGCAATCTGACAGGAGATGGGGCATGGGCCGAGTCAAGGTGGCGGTGTGGGGGAGTGTATGGGGATGCGGTGGAATTGCAGGACGAGTTGACAGGGTCGCCGCGGTGCCTTGGTTCTTTTCTCTAGTGCCTGTGTGAAATGTGATGTTAATGCACTGCAATCTACATGGATAGATATTTCAATCCCTCTCAGCTTTCACATTGCTCGTTGCTCGACTGCCTTCGCTCCGAAGCGGCCACCATCGCTGGCGCCTTTTCCGGCCGGCCACGCCCATGCCCCAAGCCCCAACCTGGGAGAACGTAGGGAGGCAGAGGAGGGCAGGAGGGGACAGGGAAGGAGGGCTGGGGGACGCAGAAATGGGAGGGAAGAGAGAGTTTAGATCGTAGAGAGAAACGTGGAGGAGCACTGGGTATGGGATTTGAGTCTGTGCTGGGTAGCATATTTCTGTCAATGGTGGGGGTGGTGAGTCAGAGTGTGAGGTGTTGAGGAGAGGGATGGGCGAGCAGGAGTTACTTTTTCTCTCTTCTACTCTCATGTCCTTGCCTTTGACGCAGAGGGTCGCCTGATTAGGTTTGACTGCTGGCTCGAGGACCTCTAGCTGTACCTGCAGAGCCAGGCTAGGGAGGACGTTTCACTATTAGAACACGTGTCCGGTACCTGCCTAGCCCCTGAAGATTCAGCTGCGCGTGCTCTTCGTACTCAGTGGCTCACCCGCGATGCTTCCGCCCGCCTTTCTATCCGCAATGCCCTCCCGCCCGAGGAACGAGTCCATTTCGGCCAGCTTAATACGACGAAGGAACTGTATGACGCTATAGTTGCTCGTAACTCCCCCCCCTCGTCTGCTGCCCTAGGCCGTATCATGCTGTCGTACCTCCACCCTGAGCTGTCTGAGTTCCAGACTGTCGCTGACCTCTTCACCCACCTTCGCTCTAGTGACGCTCGCTACCGTGCTGCTCTCAAGCCGGACTTTCTGGCTGCGAACCCGCCTCTGATGTACATCACACTCTACTACCTCGTTACCCGCCTCCCTGACTCCCTCCACGCCATTAGAGGTCACTTCCTTGCTCTCGACCCCACCGAGATCACCCTTGCCTTGATGGAAAAGCATCTTCTCAAGGCCGAGAAGAGTTCCGTCGCTGTCGCTGCCTCTCGTGGCACTCCCCGCTCCCCCTTCTTTGAGGGGTTTTCTCTCTCCCTTCTCACGCCCTCCGTTGCTACTGCTGCTGCTGTTGACTTCCTTCGTACTGAAGAGGTCGGTGTTGCGTCTGCTCCTAGTGGGAGGCGTCGCAGTGGCAAGGGCAAGGGGGGTAAGGGTGGTGGGGGGGGGGCACTAGAGGAGGTGGTGGCGGGGGTGGTGGCGGTGGTGGTGGTGGGGGTGGAGGCGGTGGTGGTGGCGGGGGTGGAGGAGGTGGTGGCGGCAGTGGAGGTGGCTGGGGCAGTGGAGTGGGCGGAGGGGGTTTGGGTGGCGGTCGGGGTGGAGCTGGCAGGGGCGGAGGCCATGGGGCGGCAACTGGTGGTGCACCTCGTGGCGGCGGAGGCACTGGGGGTGGAGAGCAGCAGCAGTCACGCCAGCAGGAGCCACGCACCCCTCAGGAGCTTCGTGAGTGGGTGGTTCAGAATGGCTCCATTGGGGCCAATGTTCGCTGCCCGTACCTCCGGCGCACGGGTCTCAGGACTGGTGAGCCCTACGGGAAGACTGGGCACACTGAGTATCATTGCTTCTGTCGTCTCGAGGATGCCTAGCGCACCGAGTACGGAGATGAGCTGGATTCCTTCAACTGGTTAGCGTTGCTATGGAAGGGGGTAGATGTGTTCACTCTTGACTTTGCCAAGATAAATGCTGGGATCTTTGCTATGTATGCTGGTGCTGCTAGTGTTGAGGGTGACTGTTACTTGTGTGTGCCACATGCCGTGAAAAGTAGCCGATAGTCAATGTCGCTGGTATGCTCGACTTCCTTCAATGAGGAAAAGT